GGGAAAACCCTGAGTGCAGCTATGTTGTCCTATGTGTCCTGAGGCTGCCTCTAATGTGCCTACAGTGTTTAGGGAAGATTTCTATGAGAATGTGAAAACTGCAGGCTCAAAAAGGAAGAAATTCAGTTCTGGGCAGTTTCCAGCTTCTGCTCTCACTTACTTGTTCCCGAATTTTTTCGTGACGATGAGGAAATAATGAGCCTCAATTGTGATGTGAATTTGGAAAACAGACAACTGGTACACTTTTGCTTGCCTAACTTCTGCAGTTAGAGGAGCTTTGTTTCTGGATCCTGGAACATATTTCAGGTGTACCAAGGGAGGGAACATAATGGTATTGCTTCCAAATACTGCTTGAATGATGTCTCAAGTTCCTCTATCATCCACTTCCAGTCCCAATAAAAGTTCAACATGAATAACAGTAGTGGGTAACACGTCTCTTTCAAACCCCAAACACAAGACATGCTTCCTGAATGCGGATGTGATAAAAAAAAAGCAAACTGAGGAAGTGGCCATTACCATGGAAAATAAAAGCAAAAAATAGAATAAAGAGCATGTAAACCTGTTCTAACCACTCGTGCAACGAAGAGAAAATATCCACAGGTAGAATAAGGCTCCAAACAAGAACTCTCCTCACCTTGCACATGCATTTGCAGAAGTTTTGGGGTTTTCTTCTACTCAACGAGCTGGGACCATATCTAGTGCTAGCCCATATGTATCCAGGGCTGTGACATGAATATTTGCCCATCCAGGCTTTTAGCTCTCTCTGCAAGAAAGGACCTGTGGGACACTTGGTCCCAGTGAATTTCTGGATTCCATATGTCATCGGCTCTCAGTATCTCCCTACTCAAGTCAGGCTTCTAATAAGGCAACTTCAGAATTTCCACAGAAACTGCCACTTTCAAAACTGTGAAACTTTTGGATTCTGGGAAATTGAAACCTTTTAATTTTTTGTGTTTTGGTTTTGTTTTGTTTGAAATGAGCATCATTTAGAGGTAATGGTTACTTGATAAAACATGCAGAGCATGTTCAGGTCTGATGTTGAAGAGCATGTTTGCCAAATCAGTGGGTAAATATTGCGCCATCCTAGGTCTAATTTCTCTGTTATACAAGGAGGCACATAATTCCTTGCTCCAAATGTAAAGTTGGTCCTTCCCAACCCTAACTATTCTATGATTCCATGTATCTGAGGGAAGTGTTATCCCTTTTCTAGTTCCACTCATCCTAGTTTGGATGGACATGCTCTTCCAAAAGCCAGACAAAACCCAACGTTCTCATTCTGCATCCTGGGGACTCACCCACACACAGAGTTACTCTCATCAAGGATATTTTTCTTTCTCTCTCATGACCAACTGAGTTAGTACACCTAATCAGCAGCTGGCAAATACCATGCCTTACAAACACAAAATAGGCCACCACAAATCCCACATGAGGATAAAGCCCATTGCTCACTCTAGTTCTCATCTAAATCAAGGGTGGAAGTGAGGGTTAAATCCAAGTAGTGTTTCGTTCTTCTTCCCTCTTAAAACCAGAGAAAGCTGTTCTAATGCCCCAGGATTGACAAACTTAGCCTTTTCATTTGCATGTCTGCAACCATCTGCATCACAGTCATTAAGCCTGTTTTCCAGATCCCTTAAAAAGGAAGAGAAACCTTTCAGGAAGGTAGTAGCACTGGAAATTCTTCGTACAGTGAAGTAAAAAAGCTATCTCTACGTCCAAGTGATAACCTCTTTCTAATTCTTTTTTGAAACCAGATTCTCCAGTTGTGAGCAGTGGTATCCTATTAGTATCAATGGGTCTGCTTGTTGGAAGCACAAAAAATGCCCTGGGTGCTGGCTGGGGGGGCTGCACAGTGTTCTTCAGGCTCAAAGGTTTGAGACAACTTCAAATTAAGGATTTGTTTTGTTTCTTTCTAACTTACTCCTGGTTTTATGCCTTTTCAGGCTTGTAGTTGTACTTTGGGCAAATTCAGTAAGAAGTTAATTGGCTGAATAGATCAAGGTCTTTCATATCATGCATCTAGGGTTTTGGGCTTTTTATAGAGGTTGGAAGCTAATCTTAGCAGTTATTATAGTAAACTGGTGTACATGTTTGGAAATTAGTCATTTGAACCATGTCAGAGCTATTCCAGCCTTTCTGTTCTAGGTCAGATCTTATCAGATTTATGCTAATTTATCTGCATTTTCAATAAGTAGTTTTCATGGTTACTTAACAATACTGTACCATATTTTCTTGGTGAGGACTTCTGTGAAGTCTGGAATAGAGATTGGACTGTAGCCTGTGCTCTGATTTTGATGTGCTCTGACTCTCGTTGATCTTCTGCAGCTTGATTTAGCCTTTTGTCCTTATTATTTCTGCTCATAGCTCTTCTAAACCTTCTCTTCTCCTTGGGTTAGCTACCTTAGCATTTCTAGCCTAAATTTATTTGCGCTCAATATGAATGCCTATTTGGCCTAGTACCAACATTGTCCTAAGTTATAAGTAACTCTTCTTCATAGATTCATTTAGAAAGATCCTGCCTGCTCTCAGCTCTTATTTATCACAGTTAAAAAAGTAAAATTCTATTTAGTTTCCTCGTGTAAGATGGGCTATCCACTCCCTGGTGTGCCTCACAGCACCTTCTTCCTGTCAGCTCCGGTCTGAATGTTTCTCCTTCCAGCAAAATTGTCATGCAGATTTGGTTTTAGACATAACATAGACACTTTTCAGAGATCTTCTAAAATAACCACGGCAGAGATGGAAATGGCCAAACCTATCATCTTCCCCTTTGCTTTGACCACTAGAACTTCTTTTACATGATTTAAATACCAGTGTTCTACATTCTGCAACTAGGTGGATTTTGCTTCTCATCTGTCTTACCTGTACCAGGGTACCAGGTGTTTTGAGAGCATGTGTTGACTGATATTGTCTGTCTTTTCCAGGGAGGTTCAGCTTTTTCTCCAGCGTCTGTTATTACTAAGAGCAGGGCACAGACCCAAGCAGCAGTCCTGGCTGAAGATGTGGGATGCCCTTCATCCACCAGTGAGGAAATTGTAGCCTGCCTCCGCCAGTTGCCTGCTCGTGCCCTCAATGATGCACAGACTAAGGTACACCACAACAAAATACATGCCATTGGCAAGGAATCAGAAAGTTACCATTGACACAAAGCTGTGAGGAAGCTTAAAAAATAAACTCTGCTGAATCCTTGTGAAAGAGGAACAGGACTAGCTTTGGTGGAGTGATGCTGATGTCCATGACATCTGGCCTATGAATACTCACAGCTTGATTCTCCTTCAGACTAAATTCCTTTTACACTACTTAGACTACATTTCCCAAAATTAATCAAAATATAGTTTTTGCCTTCTTTCAGTTCCCACTCATCTGCCCTTGGGTGTTACTTTAGGAGAATCAAATGTCTATAGACTCAGTATCTGCATTTTTGCAGAAAAGGAAGTCAGTGGGGAGGGATGTCAGTGCTCTGTCTCTTAAGTGGGAGAGTTGTGAAAGCTGAAGTATAAATAATGCTAAGGATGGATCCTTTACCCACAGATTAAAACACTGACTGGCAATCCATTTTCCAATCAGGACCAGCACAGAGCCGATCCCTAATTTAAAACAATATTTTTATGACTATCAATTCTCTTGGACTCTTCAGCTCGTTTCACCTACTGAGACTGTCAGTAAAAGCATTGTTTCTTGTCAATGATGAATTTGCACTTACTGATCACTTGTTCACTTGGAGGCTATTAACACAGTTGTCAGAAGCATCAATACAATGGAAATCACCAGGGTAAACTAATCTAAATGCAATGTTATTGCTTTTTTGCTAACCTAGCTCCTAGCTATAAGCGGTCCATTCCAGTACTGGGGTCCAGTGGTGGATGGAATTTACCTTCAGGAACCTGTAGCTAAAGCCCTGCAGCGTCCTCAGCTTCGGAAAGTAGATCTGCTCATTGGAAGTGCTCAGCAAGATGGGTTGATCAGCAGAGCTAAGGCCATTAAGGTAGGAAGACACTCACTGTTAACAAACTGATGGTATGACTATCATTATAGTGATGGCAGTTATCATATGAAGCCAGGACAGGTGCTTTTCAATTTCTACAATTGATGAATTGCATGCAAATATGCAAAGACATTGTCCATCTCCAGGCAGTCCTGTTTAAGCTGATTGATGGCACTATTCTATTTATTAATTAACATTACTGAGATATGAAGAGGTAAGAGACCAGCAGTGGTTTAGCATGTATTCATATGTAGCAATATGTTTTACTGTCTTTAAAATCCTATTTATATTGCAGTCTCAGTTGTATCTTAAAAGGAAGAAAGCAAGCTCATAACTTGGTTATGAGGTTTTTCACCATGCAGCAGGACTAAGTCAGTCTTTTCCATGCCAATATTTTCTTTTTGGGCAGTTTTTTCTCTCTTGCCTTAAAGAAGTATATTTTCTTGTAAAGATGTTTCTGAATATGGCCTAGGAATGACTAAGAATCGCAGTGGCCTGATGTGTGTGCTAAGGATTCAAGAGATAAACTGATGAAATGAAAAGGAATTGCATCCATGCTGTACTTTGGACATAAAAATCCTCAAAGGCATGAAGTTCTACCCAGAGGGATTTTACATCTTCTTGTGAACCTTCTGGTACTGTCTGTTCTTGAGACAGCATATCGACCTTTTTTATGTCTCCTTTTCTATCAATCACTCCTGGGAATGATAGTGTGTCCCTGTTTAACAAATTAGATTAAATGCTCCAATGTGCTCAGATATATGACAAGAAATCAACAGGAGAATGTAACATGGCAGGAATTATTTTGAGGGTTACTTAAGTGAACTGCAGGTCTGTTGCTATCTTCCTGTAACTGTGGAACTCATCTCAGGAGGCAGTGAAAGGTCAATCCCAGCTTCTCTTTGCTGGTAGCCAATAAAACATAGACTGAAATAATGGCAAAATTAGCCCTTTGAAAGAAGGCTTGTTTAGTCTCCATCAGAAGTTTCCTGCTCTTATTTCATGTGTATTGCTCTTTTGGAATCAATTATAAGAGGAAGTCAGGCATAGGAAACGGACCGTGACGCTGGCAGACTGCAGATAATGATCCAGGCCCTGTGAGAGGGGAATAAACCTCAGTAACCTCATGTGATAAAAACTAGGAAGTGAAATTTTTTCCTTTACCACTATCTCCACATATGATAGTTGCCTGTAAAACTGAAATAAAATGCCATGATGTATGAGAAATTATGCAACAAATCATGGTGGTGATGAAAGCCAGAAGTGCTAAAAGCCACCAGTGTCAGGTTGAAATGAAAAGGAAAAACACCTGTAACTGAGAGCTCAGCAGTAAAATGTTGCCTTTCCAAAAAGAAAACCTGGAATAGCTTCTTTACTTGAAGGCTTGCAGAAAGTAAGATTGGAAGGGGATTCAAAAAGTTGGTGCAGCTGAACCTTAAGAAATGGTCATGTCTGCCTCAACCTGAGAGACCTGTTCTAAAATCTGCTGTTGAACATCTGATCTCCTTCAGCAGGGGTTTAACTATCATTACATAGAAGGATAGTTAACTTATTTACCAGCTATGATAATAGTACCTACCTTTGGTGCTACTGCTATAAATCAGATTCCATCCTGTTCCTGAAAATACATAATATTCATGGAAGGTGGTTATATTTTATTTTCTCCCTTTTGACATCC